CATGGATCCTCAAGGATTGGGGTCATAGTCCATGGATCCTTGTGGGACTGGGTCACAATCCATGGATCCTTGAAGGATGGGGTCACAGCTGATGGATCCTCAAGCACTGAATTCATAGTTCATGGATCCTCCAGAGATGAACTAAGAATCCATGGATCCTTAAGGGATGAGGCCACAGCTGATGGATCCTTGAGGGATGGGGTCACAGTCCATGGATCCTTGAGGGATAGGGTCACAATCCATGGATCCTTGAGGGATGGGGTCACAATCCATGGCTCCCAGGTGACAGCTCACCTGTGACAGGTGAATGGAGTCTGTCACATCCCACCTTTCCCACCATGAGCCTGCCCAGGCCATGATGTGCAGCCAATCCCAAATCCCTCTGCTCTCATTCCCACTCCTCCCAAGGGCTGAGCTGCTGGTGGGGCACAGATCCAGCACCTGGCCCAGTTTCCCTCTGCTCCTCATGTCCAGGTGCCCACAGAGGGGACAGATCCCAGTGACAGTGACTGAGCCTGGCATTACCTGATCTGCTCCAGTTGTTTTCATTTTCATTTCACATTAATGCAGTGAAACCACAATAAACTCCTCTCCACCCAGGAACAGCTGCTCCATAAAAACCATCCAAGAGCAGAAATCTGATTTTAACCTTTCCTCCCCATTATTTCTGTGGGAGCACAGGTTGGGAAGTCAGTGGGAATTAATCACTTGCCACACACCCCACTAATTGTGTTTAATGAAAGGAACAGCTCAGGGAGGGAATGGGGATGGCCACAGCACAAGGAACCACATGGGGGCCAAGGGGATTTATTTTCCCTTCCGGAAGAAGGACAGTGAAGCCAGGAACCTTTGCTATTTTTGGCCATTAAATTCTGGATAAAGCCTGGATTGCATCCATGGTATTCTTCCCCTGGCAGCTCCCTGGGCAGGACTGACCCAGCCTGGAGAAATGCTCTTTGTTCTTCTCTCTCTGTGCAGAAGGAACAAGCACTTCTTTTTTCAGTTTAATTAGGGTTTCTCATTAAAGAATTCCCCTCCCAGCATGTTTGTTTCTCCAGCACACACAACCTGAATATAACAAAACAATCCACTCTCAGCTGCTGGGCTGATGGAACAATGAGAAGTTCTCCTGCTCAAAATGACAGGAAGAACAATGTAAATGCTTTTCATTTTTACTTTCTCTCCCTGAAGAGGGTGGGAAAGCCTTGGGAATGTGAAAAGGAAGGGAATGTGAGCAGTGGGATCAGTGCTGGAGCTGAGGTAACCAGCAGAAAGGTGAGTTTATCCCACTGCTTCTCTGGGTTCGGAATAATCCCTTTGCAGTTTATTAAAGTGAAATTACCCCAGTTCTTTGTTTTCAAGTGATGCTAAAGCAGCAAAGCTGCAAACCCTGATGAAGATTTAATTATTCCAGTGCCCCAAGTTTTTCCCACTGGTGACACCACTCCTCACACAGCCATGGCACACACAGGACACAGGTGTGGGTGCTGGGATCTGCACACCCAACCCAACAGAAATCCTTCCTGGGAACGGGATGGGATGTGGACACTGCAGAAATTTTATTACAGAGCTGCTTCCACTGCCTGCATCTCCTCAAAGGGGTGAACTGGAGGAGCAGCTTCATTTCCCAAAGGTGTCAGGACAAGGATGTGCAATGGGCATGGAGAGGCTTTTATAAACCACAGGATGTGCTCCCTCCTGGGCAGTCTCACTCCGCTTTTTATTTTTTAACACCAAATAAATACAAAACAATCCAATAAAAAATGAACAGCAGTAAATCTGAGAAATGGGTTGTCTTTAAGAGCAATACTATTGACTGAGGTGAGGCCCCAAATAAGTGATTTGGGGAGGGAAAAGCCTCCCCAGGTCTGCAGTACAGATGGCTTTGGATAAATGACTCAGGATTCCATCCAGGATTTGAGATGAGGGGCTGAAAGGACAAGTTTTTGGAAGGTAGAAACAAGAGGCACTTAAATCTTAAAAGGTTTTTTATGAGCAATAGGAATTTTCCCACTTTATGGACTCCCCTGAGTGTCCTCCTGAGGTGATGGAGGAACCCAGGAGGAACCACCCGTAGGGAAGGGCCTGGAGCTCCATGGACAGGTGTGGATGGAACAGGTGAGGCTGCAGCATCAATAAACACTTGAATTCCTACAGGAAAAAGCTTTTCCAAAGTGCCCCTGCTGGTGCAGGGAATGGCCAAGCTCTTCCCACTGTTCTCCATGTCCACCAGATCCCTTTTTTTCCATTTTTATTTGTACAATCTTTGCCTCACCAGCTCTCCCCTCCTCATGCCTGTGAAGGGCACAAAGGGAGGAGAGGCAGGGAATGGGATCTGGGGATTGGGAAGAAGCAGTGGGAGGAAAAAGGGCATTGTTTCAATGTTCCTACAGAGTTCTGTCAGGTGAAGGACTGGGGCAGAGACTGCTGAGGGACACAGGGGAGCAGCAGCTCACCCTGGTGTCAATAAACACTCCAGTTATTTACTCTGCAGCTCCTGTCTCCTGTGAGATTCCCAGCTCCCAATTTTACACAACAGGAATCTCCTCCAAAGTATTCCAAAACAGCTTAAAAATAAGATTTAAAAAATAGGTATTAAAAAATACTCCCTTGCTCCTCCATGAAGGGGAAGGTGGTTTCTGGTCTCTCTGAATCACAAAATTCTCTCCCTTTTTCTCCTTGGACAGCTCCAAGTTGTGCTGTTTTCCAGGCTCTCTCCTTGCAGAGCCTCCTGATGTCCATGAGCTAAAACTTCTGCAGGAATTTGAGCACCAGGTCCCTCAGTTTGACCCTCAGGGGCTCATCGTTGTCACAGATGATGTGGGTGGAGTCCTCCTCCAGCTGGATCAGGGTCTCAGCCTCCTGCAGCAGCACAATGTGGCCCTTGGCCGTGTCCTCCACCTTGACATCGCTGAATCCGTGCTGGATTTGGGGCGGGAGAGGGAGAGAGAGGGAAATCAGCACAGCTCAGGGAAACTGGGACAGAGGAGAGAGCAGGCACAGGGGTGAGGGGGAATTTCATGGAATCACAGATTGGTTTGGCTGGGAAGGGCCTTAAATCTCATCCAGTGCCACCCCCTGACATGGCAGGGACACTTCCACTGTCCCAGGCTGCTCCAAGCCCTGTCCAGCCTGGCCTTGGACACTTCCATGGATCCAGGAGCAGCCACAGCTTCTCTGGGAATTCTATTCCAGGGCCTCCCCACCCTCACAGCCAACAATTCCTTCCCAATATCCCATCCATCCCTGCCCTCTGGAGTGTGCAGCCATTCCCTGTGTCCTGTCCCTCCATCCCATGTCCCAAATCCCTCTCCAGCTCTCCTGGAGCCCCTTTAGGCACTGGAAGTCTGTAATCCTTTATCTCCTGCCAGGTGAGAACAAGACTCCACAGAGCAGCAACCAAATTTGTGCAGCTTCCTCAGGAGGCTCCTCCACCACTGGAGACATTTCCAGGATCTGTTCTTCACTTGGTCACCTTCTTACAACCTTGTGGAAATTTAAAAATGCTTTTGAGACTCCCTCAGCCGCTGAATCCAAAAGTTCTGTGAGACAAATCACCCACCCAAAAGCTCTGCTTCCATGGGAAACAGGAGGGGATCACTGACATGAACCCTACACAGCAGGACAAGGCTCCACAGGGAACAATTCCCTCTGTTCTGAAGTGCAGGGACACCCTGGAGCACTTTGGCAACTCACTGGCCTTTCTCCATTTCAAGCTGCACTAAAATGATTTCCCCTCTCTCTGAGATGTGCAGAAATCTGCTGGAATCAATCCCACCAAAGACTCCTCACCTTCTCCAGAGTCTGCACAAACTGGTCCATGGGGATGGAGCCACTCAGCAGAGGCTTCAGAGACTTGCACTCGGGCACATCATCACTCACCCGCTTCCTCTTCTTGCTGGCAGGAGGCTGGGGAGCTTTTGGAGGGAGCTGATGGATGAGAAGGAAAAAAAAAGGATGCAACAGGTTGGGAAACAGGCAAATTTCCCTCTAAAGGATGCAACAGGCTGGAAACAGGGAAATTCAGAGTGAGCAACTACTCAGGGAATGAGAATGTGGCTTAGCTCCAGCCATTTATGAGGACTCTGGCATTTCAAGCCCAGGTCTAAGTTTATTTGGCAGCAGGAATGAGTGGAGAAGGGAGAAAACGAACAACAGCAGCCTCAGACCAATCCCATTGCAGCACCTCCCAGAGCTGCTGAGGGTTTCCATGGTTTGCTTGGGAAGAGGGGGGCAGCCTGTTTGCTGTGCTGTGACAGAAATCCTCACCAACCTTCACAGCCCTGACATTTCCACACTGGGCTCTCTGCCCAAGCGTGGGAAGGGCTGCTCAGTGAGGCCCTGCAGGCTTGTGGATCTGAGAGAAAGGGGACCAGGGCAGGTCCCTGGACATCACCTCCTCCTGCAGGGCACTCATGCCAGGAATTCCAGGGCCAGCCTGAAGGGGGTGGCAGGAAGGGAGAGGAGAGATGGACAAATTCCAGGGAAACTGAGGGCAGATGGTCCCTTCCCCAGCCTGATGTCCCAGGCCATCTCTCTCCCCTAACCCTTGCTCCTGAGAGGCTGATGATGCTGTTGCTGACTCTGGAAGGCAGCAGGGTGATCTGTAGCCTCTCTTCAGGAATTATCTCACTTCCCCATTCATCTCAGCCAGGCACATGGCCAAGGAAAAGAGGGCAGAGAGATTTATTTGCATCCCACTCCCTGCTCTGGGTGTAATTCCTCACCTGCACATGCCAGGGCAAAGCCTCTGCCAAGGGCTCTGCCCCAGTGGGAAGGAGCTGCAGGAGGGCTCCTGGATGGCAGGAAAAGCCAGAGTTAAGGATATTTTTCTCCCTTTCCCATTAGACTGTACCTGCAGCACGTGCTTGTTGTCCTTAGTATGCAGCACAGCAGAAACTGTTGCCAAGGAAATACCAGGCTTGATCTCCAAGGGCACGAGGGAATCTGCAAGCTGAAGCAAAAGGAGATTTTGTTCAGCAAGTGATCAGCTCAAAATGTGCATGAACCCAGCTGTGAGATAAATTGGCAGTGTGGTATTTTTAAACATGGGCTAATGAACTGTAAACACAAAGCCACTGATAGACTGAGAGCTCCTCGGACCTGCCCAGCCTCCTTCCAGCTCCCAAAATCATGGATTTCACACCATGGGCAGAGCAGCACGAGGTTTGCAGGAACCAGGGCTGGTCTCAAAAACCAGAATAAACACAGAGAACTCTTGTGTGAACAGACAATTGCTTCATTAATAATTTTAGTTAGTACAACTCGTGGTCTAATCCAGCATTATTATGTTTGTGATGCTGATGGACAATGGAAAATCAAAGTGAGTTTCCTTTCAGTCCCTGACTGCAGAATATCTGGAATAAGAACTGTCTGTCCTTAAAACCCCAATGTTTTCAATCAACCCACTGTTGATTAGTTTGAAATTATTCCAACAACGCTGCACAAAACCCTTTCCACTGCTTTTTTTTTATAATTCTTCCCTGAAAGACACAAAATCTAGTTTTGGCTTGGAGTTTGGATCTGACACTGCAGGCAGTGCCTGGAGTGGGCAGAGCTGCACCTGCTGAGACCAGAGGAAGCTGGCCAGTTGGGAAGAACCTCTTCCAGCCACTTTTCCAAAGGAATTCTGCAGAAAACAGTGCTCATGAATGGAGGAAATTATTCCCTTTTCCCCTCCAAGGGAATGCAAGGTGCCAGGATGCCCAATCCTATTGCCATGAAAGCACTGAGAGGGTTTTTCTGTTGGCTGGATGGTGGCAAAGTTGTTTTAATAAGTTCTGCAAATCCCACCTGCCACTGTTAAAGCTGCAGGAACATTTTGAGAGCAGCTCTTTGGAATAAAGCAGTTGGTGTGTTGGAAAAAACACAGGCTGCATTAAAAATCCCTAAATTCTGTCTGTATTCAGCCGTGGTGAATCCTAGAAATCCAAACTTTGATGGAGCAATTCATCTCACTGTTACTCTGGGACTCTGTTCAAGATCTTTAAAGCAGGCTATTTGAATACAGCCTTTATGGTTTGTTGTTGAAGGCAAAGAGAATGAAAATATAGTGACAATCATTGCTTCAGATTTCTCCTGGGATCTAAAACCAGCAGCACTTGCAGCAGTGAGTTCTGCTGCCCCCCCAGTGGTCGAAGGCACTTTCCATCCCAACACCTTCCTGAGGAGGATCGATACAAACCAGGCTCTGATGGAGAGCAGAACGACAAATCCTGTCAAGAGAAAGATCCTTAAAGAACAGGGAGTGGCTTGGAACCAAAGGCTTCTCCTGCCACTGAAGTATTTTGCTACTAACATCTCTGCAGGTTTTAAACAGGCTAAATAGGAACACTTGGATTATTTACAGTCAGAAGGACAGTAGGACAGGCATTCATTCTGATTTCCTCCCCAGCTCACAGCCCTCTCCATGCGGCAGCCAATCCTTTTATTACAGAAACTCAGTGACCCAAAGCAAAAAAGGTCATTTAATCACATCCAGTAATTCACCCAGCAAGGCCAGGCAGCACTGCTCCACTCCTTTCAAGTGACCTCCTGCACACACAAATCACAGAACTCCTCCAGAATGCTGCATTAAAGAAATCCTTTTCACAGAGGCAGCAAGTCTTGTCTGAACTCCGAGCTATGGCAACTCCACTGTTTCCCCTCACAAATGGTTTCAAACTTTAATTCTCCTGGCAGCCAGGAAGCCGTGTCTCATTTCAAGGTTGAATTTGTCCAACTTGCAGTGGCTGCCTCTTGTTGTGTCTTTGTGTGTGAGATTGAAAAGCCCCCCACCTAGCAGGAATAAATGAGTCTTCCTTCCAGTCATTATCCCAGCCCAGTGTCACATGCTGGCACCAGGAAAGCCACCAAAGCAGGGACACTGAGATCTAACAGCACATTAATCAGTCCCCTGCCCATGGATGAGCACTTGGACTGCCTTAGGAGAAATCTGGGGGGGATGTGTGCACTATTTTAGTTTTCAGCTTGGGATGTTCTCCTCCTGTGATCAGAGCTGCCTGCCCATGCTAAAGCAGAGGAAAGATATTTTTACCATGAAGTCTTTCCTGTAGGGTTGCATTTCCCACCCCAAAAGAGGATTTGACACACACCCTGCGAGCACAAACACTGCTGTTGGCCAAATTACAGATATTGATAAAGAACAACATGGGTTAAGTCAGTCTTAAAACTCTCCTAAAGACTTCAATGGGGACAACTTTCCCCAGGTTTAAGTTGTCCTCAGTCACCAGCCAAAAATCCTCTTGTTGGCAATGAGGGGCTGAACAACCCCTGAGGGTGGGACCCGAAACTTCACAGTAAAAATAAAATGAGGCTGAATAACAAGTGAATAAAATCAGGGCACCACCAGACTTCCAGCCCACATGGTCTAGGTTCTCTGGAGGATTCTCCCAGGACAGACATGCTGGATGTACAACAATATTTTAACATCCTAGTTCCAGTAATTTCTTCTTAGATTTTTGGAACACCTCCCAAAACTCCTTGCTTTTCATTTTTCTCTTCTGGCTTCACTGGAGAGGGTGCAGGAAGGCTGACCCAGCAGGGAGAGGCAAAGTTTGGGCTGAGTGAGGTGAGCTGGATATGGAGAACAAGCAGGAGCACAGCAAAGTGACCAGCAGTTAAAAATCCCCTGAAACTGTAGGATCTGAAATCACTGATGTGTACATTAGATTATAGCATGTGTATTTAGAAAGGGGCCCTGCTGGGTTTTTACATCATTAAATGTGTTTTCCAGATTTTCAAACTCAAATTTTCAAATGCATAAATGTGGGAACTCTGCATGAAAGGTGGGATCAAAGCAGAGAAGCAGATGGGAAACCCCAGACCGAGGATTCCTCTGGCAGCCCTGAGGTGGGGAAAGCTCTGGTTCAAGGAAAGAGATTCCCAGGGAACTCCTGGGCTGCTGCTGCAATTCCTGAAGGGCCATTAATGAAACTCCCAGATTTTTTAATGACCTCAGCACAGAATGAGGAGTGGAGTTCAGAAGGTCCCACTGAAGTCTGTAGGGCACCTTTAACAGAAAACAGGACCAGGCTGTGAGAGAGGAAAAACTCAAAGACAAGAATTGGAGTGAGAAAACCAAGATGAAATTCAGTAGCACAAAACAAAGGCCAAGGATGGGGCTAATACTGAGAATTTCTGCTGTGGGCTGGCAGCTGCTGCAAAGGACAGAGGTGAAGGGTTCAGGTTTATTAGTGCATCCCAGGAGAGTCACAAATGTGACATGGCCATGAAAAAGGGTAAATGCCAGCCCAGAAAGTATCAGGTAATTCTTTCTGAGATGAGCCATCACACTTTACATTGGGCCTGGCAAGATTTCATCTGAACTACTTGTAAATTGTGGGTAATTTCAGTTCAAGTAAGAGATTCTGAAGGGTAAAATAAGGCAGGAGGAGCTGTCTTGTAAGGGGAAACTAAATATCTTGGCTTGTTTAGCCTGGCAAAAAAGAAAGCCAAAGGGAGAATTTGATTATTCTACATAAACACCACAGGGAAAATACCAACAAAAGGGAAAATGTATTTATGCCCAAACATGATGTTAGGAATAAATGTGTGCAGGCCAGCAGTGAGTATGTGTAGGCTGGAAATTAGGATGTTTTTGGCCATCAGAGACAGTGGGGGCTTGAACAGCATCTATTGGGAACAGCAGGGGCAAAAGTCTCTGCAATTTGAAATCTTACAGTTTCTGGAGGCACATTATAAACACTGCTGGTAACTGCAGCTGGGTTCTGGCCACGTGAGCCCTCAGGGCACTTCCATTTCGAGGTGGGAATGATGGAATACAGCCTTGGAGCTTGCTGGGTATGAAGTAATTCCCACCCAGATCCCCTCAATAAGATGGAATTTGTATGGGAGAAAAAAATATCCCCTGCCAATTATCAGAGAAGCCCAAGGATTTTAAAATCTGCCTGAGTTCAGAGAAAGCCCTGGAGGTCACTCCTGCAGAGGTTTTTATTGTAACTACTCCTCAGCAAAACCTGCATGGAGAACCTGCCCCATCCTCCATCCCTCCACTCCCCTGCTCCTCACACACACCAAATCCCGTTTCTGGGTGCAGGAAAGCATCTTCAGTAGGACAAAAATTGCTTCCAGGCTGTGCAGCAGCCTTTGCACAAGCAGGGAGGATCTCAGAGTCAGTACTGTAAGCATAATGAAAACCACGGTCTTTGCCATGTGACTTAAATCTGGATGGTGGTGTCAGGAGAGAAGGATAATTTCCCTTACCTCTTACTTCCTTGCCTCCTCTTATCCCTTATTTTTTAAAGTATTTTAATTGCTCATTCATTAATTATTTAAGTACCAGCAGCTCTGATGGCCAGGTCAGACACAGGAGGAGTCTCCAACAGATCCAGCCTTGGTTTTACAGCTAAACCAGAGGCCAAGAGCAGGAATTGTGCAAGTATCAGATCCTTCAGAGGGACAAAAAAATGTGGGGTCAAACACAAGGGGTGAAAGGGGAACTGAAATGTGCCTGTGGATTTGTGACCAGCAGGCACAGGGAACAAGGCACAGGCACGCTGCAGGCAGGATGGAAATTGGGGAATTTTGCTTCTGAGAGCTGAAGGAACAAAGGCTTTTCCAGCAGAGAACAGCCCAGAAATGAAGGGCATCTGTGAGATCATTAGTGGGTGATCTGAGTCAGGTCCTGTTGGGCTTTCAGCCTCACATTTGACACAATCCAAGGGTTTTAATTCAGCTGCTGAGTTACCCCCAGGTTCACAGAGCTGTCACTCGCTGGGGGTCTCCCACAGCTCTCTCTGGAGCAGATTTTAAAGTCTCATTAACTTCAGTGGAGAAAGAATCCTACCATGAATATCTAAAGATTTTGCAATTATCACTTGAAAAAGTGATCTTGGCTTTGGGCTTCCACAGAGCCCAAACTTTTTCATCCACTGAAGAAATAAAAAAGCCTGGGGTGCAATCCACCTTTAATTCATTAATTAAAGCTCTTCT